GCATGAACGAAACCTCAGGATCGGAGATGCTGCTTTGGATGTGTCTGGCCTACAGCTGCGCTTCGTCGAGCAACTTGTATAAGAACGCATTGCAAACCCGCCGTCTTAAGTTTCCTACTATCATCAAGCGTTTTCAATCATCTTCGAGTACCTTTAAACATATCCAGCTTGACGCTGTAGATTCAATTCTCATACCCTCTTTTCACTACCGTAACAGCTGCGCTGTACCTACCATCACTTTTACTCTCTCTCGAATAATCTATACATACATATTCACCATGTACTTCCAGTCTTTCGCCATCCTTTCGCTCGCTGCGTTCTCTGTCGCCGCACCTACTTCCAACAAGCGCGCAGTGGTTGCCCGCCAGGCCGGCCCTGTTCTCGCCGACACGACTTACAACGACATCTCGATCTCTGGCGGACAGGCTGGAAACGCGCAGGCGGAAGCTATGGCAGCCTTCTCAGCACTCGACTTGCAGAACCCCGAGAATATCGACCCGGCGGACCTCACTTTCCTTAATGAAGTCAACCAAGTCGCCAACGATGCGGAGAAGGAGGCCTTCAACCCAGCGGTCGAGGCTGCTACCGGTGATGAAGCCGATCAGATCCAGGTATGTGTTCTTTTACACAGACTGCGCTACAGACCTAACACTACTACAGGCCGGAAAGATCAAGAACAAGGTCTTGAAGCTCATGGCTACTGTCATCAAGCTTCAGGCTCAGCAAGCTCAGGGAGATGACACAGTTGCCGACAAGCTTGCGGAGGAAATGACAAAGCTCCAGAACAACATTGATCAGGATACTGCGGCTGCTGGTCAGGTCTCTATTGCTGAGCCGTTCGATGCTACTATCTCTGGCGGAGGAAACTAATGTGGAAGAGAATGGTTCGATCGCTGGACTGTCGATATCTGGAGCGCTTACCCTGACTCCTTGAAACATCCTTCGGCGCTGCGTCCATAGACCTGGGTAGTTCATTGCTTAGCTATATGCGATTGCAATTGCAATTGCAAAATTTAGATACCTTCCCAACACTTTTGTTCAGTCGCCACTCCTTTAAAGTGCTCTCATCCGTCTCTCATGTCTTCTAATAATTGATTGTATTATTTCTAAATGTCCCCAGGCACGGCGAGTGTTTGCTCGTTGGTGGCGTGAGTTCTGGAGCATGGCTTGGCAGGCAACAGCTGATGGCCGGGACTTGAAGAAGTGCCGAGCGTGGAGCCTCGGAACGGCCTCGGCTTCGCGTCATGGCATGTTCGTCGACGTTAAATACTCTGACCTTGACAACGGCGCACTACACCTTGATACCCATTGATGTTCGCGTAGCATTCATTCTTCGTCTCGTCATCTTTGCGCATTATTCTTCGTCCTTGCGTCATTGGCCATCTGCACACCATGTCGAAGCTATCGCCGACGCTCAAGTCGCTGATCAACGCCGCGCACTCGCGCCCAGGCCCCGTACCAGCACCACCGAGAATCCAGGCTGTGTACAAACGCATAGAAGAAGAGGCCACAGAGCGGAAACTCGGGCGACCGTCATGGCTGGGCATTTCCACCGCCGCGACCATGACGATGAACTCGCCTGAGTCCATGGTCGCCCTGTACAACAGCTCCACTGCGTCCAGACCCGAGAGTGAAGGCGTTGCGACAGCGGAATTCATGCGCGAAATTGGCCTCAAGTGCATAGGCTTCAATGGTGTAAGTGGCAAGTTTACAAGAGAACAGCGTCGTGTGCTAAGACACCATATAGATCCCACGCACAATCAACATGCTCAACGCCTTCCGCGCCGAACTGCCTTCGTCGATCGCTTCCAAGCTAAACACCAAGCCTACGCGCTTCCCAGACCCCTCCAACGTCGAGCACATCAATCAACGCGGTCGCGCTCTCTGGAATGCCATCTACCGCCCACTAGAAACCAAACTCGAACACAAACTCGGCGAGGCACACCCCGATCTGCCCGTCTTCATCATCAACAGCGAATACGGCGGTCTGTTCACCGACCCTCCCCGCAAAGAAGGAGCAACCGTGGGCCGAATAACAACCAGCTTGATTGCTATCACATGCTTAAGGGCACAACAAGGAGTCGGGCCACAGGTGCTCAGTCATGTCTTTGGGCTGAGGAAGGCTTGGGAAGACGGCACCTGGAGACAAGAGCCTGAAGCGGGAGAAGAGGAGGGAATCAAGTGGCTAGTCAGTGATGAAGGATGTACATGGGTGCTGGAGAAGGTCGATGAGCTTGTTGAAGCTCTCGGCGGAGGACAGGGAAGCACATTTGCGCCTGTTAAGTCCAAGTTATAGGGTTGTGTCGAGTACATTGAGAGATGACGAGATATGTTGTGAACATGGCCTAGGAGATTAAGCCGCCGCAAGGCCCTCGTCTTGATCCCGTATTAACGAACGAAAGGCCTCAATACATCCTACACGCTGCCACATTGAAATATCCGTCGCCCGTCCGCGCGACCCGGTCGTTCGATGATACCGAGTCTCTGGTAGAAGTCGACCGGCTAATATCTCCATGCCCTCATAGTTCAGCCGATCCCGCGCTTATCTCCAAGTCCTTCCCCGCTAACCATCCCGCAAAGCTTGAATTCAGCCCCACCTTCTCCGACATGTTGGTCTAGCGCATCGTCTCATTCGAAGGCTTACGTCCGAGACCCGAGGGATACTCACGTCACTCCGCAATATTGACGGGCTGGAGACTATGATGTCCCTAGTGAGTTTACCCTAGCTCACACCGGCTGGGTAAATGAGAGGTGTGTCGTGATCATTGCGTCGTCATTGATGGGAATGCATTCGTGATTGTCTCGCTCTGTGTTAGGAGCTTCAATTAGCAGATCAGGTATGATGTATAAGAGAAGCTGCCTGAGAGGCTTTGATCAGGCGTATATTGTACTAGTCATTCGAACATAGCGACGATGGCAACAACATTCCTACTACCACTGCTCTATGCTGGTGGAGCTTGTGCTCAGTATGTCCCCGTGCCGTGGGCATACACACAGAATGAGCCTCCCGTTAAGGTTACCGTTGACGCTTCGGTTCGACATCAAACGATGATCGGAGGTGGCTGCTCAGGAGCCTTTGGTGTCGCCTGCGATCAAACCGGATCTCGAGGCCTCTCGCCCTCAAACCAACAGCTCGTCAGCGACTACTTGTTCAACGAGAATATTGGAGGCCTTTCTGTGCTGCGCAACCGCGTTGGCTCGAGCCCTACAGACGGCATTCTCGGCAGCTGTCCTACATCCCCATCAGCACCTGCCAATTACTCAGGCTTGGGAGCGAACGATTCCACCGCCGACAGCTGCCAGCTCAAGCTCACACAACAAGCTTTGACAGCCAACCCGGATCTGTTCATCTATGCAGACGCTTGGTCTGCTCCGGGTTGCTTCAAGACCGATGCCACGGACATCAACGGTGGCCTGATCTGCGGCGTGCGCGGAACCAACTGCACACACGACTGGCGACAAGCATATGCTGACTACCTTGTGGAGTACGTCAGATTGTATGAAGAGAAGGGTATCAACGTCAACTTGATCGGTGCTTACAACGAGCCCGACTTCAACCCCGTCACCTACGCTAGCATGGACTCCGACGGATACCAGGCTGCCGACTTCCTCAAAGTTCTTTATCCTACCGTCAAGAAGTACCGCGAGGACTTGAAGGTGTCCTGCTGCGACGCTACTGGTGCTCGTCAAGAACGCAATCTGCTTTACGAGCTGGATCAAGCTGGTGGCGGCAAGATGTATGATGTCGCGACATGGCACAATTATCAGAGCATGCCTGAGCGACCTTTCAATACGCATGGTCAGCCAAACATGGAGACCGAGTGGTCAGACGGTAGCGGTCCGTTCAATACTACCTGGGACACAACTGGCCAGCTGGCGGAAGGTCTACAATGGGCCATATATATGTAAGTCATAAACATTGCATTCCCTTTTGACACACTCAACTGACTGCACAAAAGGCACCAAGCCTTCGTATACAGCGACACATCCGGCTACCTCCACTGGTGGTGCGCACAAGACAACCCCGGAAACACCACCGGCAGCGACGCCATCCTCGTACGTCTCCGAGGTAACACCTTCGAAGTATCCCGCCGTCTCTGGGCGTTTGCCGGCTACTTCCGCTTCGCACGTCCGGGATCCGTTCGTATCGATGCTATCAGTCCTGCTGAGAATCTCAAGGTTACGGCTTTTGAGAACACGAATGGTACGCTGGCTATTCCTGTTATCAATGAGGCGCACTATGAAAGACAGGTTGAGGTTAGTATTAAGGGCTGTAATTTTACGATGGGTGTCGCGAATGCGTATTTGGCGGACAATGAACATAATAATACGATGGTTGGGACGTATGGGGTTAATGGGTCAGTGTTTGTAGCTTCTGTCCCGCCGAGGAGTATGACTACTTTCTTCTTGGAGTAGGTTACAATAATATATACCTCGATCTTAGCCTAGTCCAATAACACTGTCCTCCTGCCAACCATTACTCGCCATGTCCTACACAATTGCTAGATGATCGTTTGCCTGATGTAGCGCCGAAACAACCGTCTGGAAAGCGACGAACACATCGTCGACTGAACTGTGTTTAGGTGTGCCCCACAGAAAAGCTTGTCTGGCGTGTGGGTAGTTTCGATCACGTCAGTCTTGTGAGCGAGCATAGTGGGTATATCCCAATTCTCCCATTTGAGTATAAAGTGGTTCAGGAGTGATGATGAGATCAAACATGGAAGTGGAGCGAGACGGCCGTTCGTTTGCCGTGCTCCGCAAACACTGTAGGTGCCTGTCAGCGCACCTTTCATCGCTCACTGCGGTACTTCACCGCCGCTAGGCCCTTTCTGTGTATTTGCGACAAATTGCTTGCTCGAACGATCGCTAATTGCGCGCAAACGCGAAGCTCCATCAACTTTTCGTTGCTCAGTCCGCCTGTTTCCTCTCTTCTTCTACGCGCTGATCGACTCTGGCGTGCCGCGCAGCAGCAAGGAACTACACCATACCCGAAAGCCACGATGGGCGACTGTCAGAATGCCACTAGCGCGTGCACTGGAAATCCTCCTCCAACGAAGACAACCCCAGATTTCCCTCCGCAACCTGCCCGGGACTCTGCGCAAACTCCAAGCCAAGGATGTGCTCAAATGATCGTGCCTTTGGGCTTTGCAGCGCAGCTCCGAGCCGTACAGGAAGCGCAGCAGGAACAGGCAGAGCGCATCGCCAAGTTGGAGCAAGAGAACGCAGATCTCAAGGACTTCAAGGAGAGGATCATCGATATCGCTGACCGAGTTCAAGCTTTGGAGCAGCGCGAAGCCTATCGTGCCGCAAGACGCAGGGAAGCAGTCGGTCTACTCAGTAACATGCGTACCCTGCATCAAGAAGCCGACAATGGATTCCAGCAACGCACGGTGGACATGCAACCGGATGACCTCGAAGGAATGTTGGGCGCGTATGGCATCATGTTGACTACTGCAATGAACAACCACCAGCGCATGCTTGGTCAGATGCGTGCGAACGGCCAATTTCCAGCATATACAACGCCAGTTCCGCAGACTCGACAAGTGCTTGCACCGGTGCAGCGGGTCCATGCTTATCCGCCGGCGTACTCAGAGCCTGGATTGTGCCATGCGCACAGCTTACCTTACTGCCGAGTGTGCGGTAAGTAGATGCCCAACCGTCTCGTTGTCTCGCGGTTGAGTTCTATTCCTGAAACCATCAGGAATTCGACACATCAATACCGGCGCTCCATGTACCCTCCAGAAACTGAGGTTAAGGAGCCACTCTTCTTGAGAATAAATTGGAATCACAAGTTTACCTGATGAGGGGAATGGGGAGCTTGGCGTTGGCGGAGTTTGCTTTAGTCCATTCGTCTTGTGTTGGATCCGTTCCCAGACTTGATTGTGAACCATCGAGGGTGCCGGCAGGGGCGCCATACAGTATCGTGCTTCTGTAACTTTGTTATTTTGGGCGTTTAATGCTGCGATGCAGGTACTGCCGAGATCTTGGTATTGGGAAGGGTATGCCGTATCTGCGCACTTGCTTGATTCTGACTGCGTTTCAATTGGAGGATAATCATGTCATTGATCGAACCACGAGACCTGGTATAGCGATGAGTTTATGCTTGTATTTCAAGCGAAGCTAGGGCCACAGTTATTAATTATTCTATCCGTAAACAGCCATCTTAACGCTAAGTTTAGCGCACAAGCCCCTAATCTTATTATTGTCCTCCTAGTTATTCTTCTAACTGTTTAGAGTCCTAGACCTAATTGCTAGGAGTTCTCTTATAACTTTGTCTAGCTCTAGGAGCTTTCTGTTAGCGTAAGCTCTGTAGGTAGTGCTGGGAGAATTAAGCTAGATAGCGGCAAGCTAGGTCCTCTTAGTTTGCTAATAGAGGAGCTCTTAGTTGTTGCGACAGCACTACTACAAAGGTGTCTTGTTGCCGCAATTGTTAGGCATAAGTAAAGTGTCGCTATTTAGGTTGTGTGGCGAGATAGCTGTAATACAGCAGTTGCAGATAGTAAGCTTTATAAGTTAGACTAAGTTAAATGTAGAGGTAGAAGGAAAGCGCTTACATTTAGTGTGATATTCGCTATTTTTTTAGAGTTATGCATGAGTAAAGGTCTAGCGGCAGAAGATTTTCGGCTATAAATATCTGTGTGGGCTAGGCAGCAGCGGTAATGTGACTAATAGTTGCCTTGAGTAGTGTACCGGTTTCCAGTAAAGAGAGCCAACGATAACCGTGGCGACATGTGAAGTAGTCACGCGCGGAAGACGATGCCTAGGTAGGACGCTGGTAGAGAAGCGACGATGAGGTTTCGAGAGCCTCACGACGCGCGACGCGTTCAGCTATTCCTAATCGGGATGGGCCTCCGCTTCCCAGCCTCCGCACATGATACGACACCGAGCGCGTTTCCTCAGCGGTACTTCGTCGCCATCATCTCTGCAGCTCTCTCCGCGATGCCATAAATGGCTGTTTGGATATGTGCTGAGATGATCATCGGAATGACGCTCGCGTCCACCACCCTGAGATTATTTACGCCGTAAACCCTCAGTTGGGGGTCGACCACACCACCGTCTTTCTTCGGCAACATCGCGCATGTTCCTAGTGGGTGGTAGAAAGTGAAGACGTTGTTCCTGATGTACGTTTCCCACTCCGCGTGTGTTTCGGTGCTCATACCAGGATCGAATTCGGATACCCAGACATCTTTGAAGGGCGCGGTCATGGCCATCTTTCGTGTGTACTTCGCGGCCTGAATCAAGGCCTCTAGATCGTACGGCGTACCAAGATACTTCGGATCAATGAGGGGCTTGTTGGTTGGATCAGATCCGTTGATGTGGACTGATCCCCTAGAAAGCGGGTGCTGTACGCCAGCCAAAAGCGTTGCATACTGCTTACCGTAGCCAGCTGTGCCGTTTTTCGGGTATCCGGTTGTTCCTATATAACCATCACTGAAGACGACCTCCAGATCTGGTGCTTCGGACCCCGGACCAGTGAGTAGTTCAAGCTTCTTTCGGTCGACAGGATTCGACTGGTTCGCGGATTGCGTTGCCAGCTGGATGAGCTTGCTGTCGTCATCAAGAGCCTGCGTCCACTTCACGAAGCCGTAGCAGCTTCCGGCGTACTGGTACAGCGACGTACGGCCGCGCTTCCACAGGTCCAATTCACTGGCCGCCAACGTCGTGTTATACTTTAGGATATCCACTCCGAGAATGTCGGGTTTGAGCTCATACGTCGTCTGGATACGGAGATGGTCCTGTAGGTTCTCTCCGACGCCGGGAAGATGAACGATGTGCTCGACACCAGCGTTTTCTAACACGGACTTCTGGCCTATTCCAGATAGCTCTAGAATCTTTGGAGAAAGCAGGCTTCCAGCGGAAACAACTACCTCGCTCCTGGCTTGGATCACTGTGCCGTCCATGAGAATGACGCCAGTCGCCTTCGACCCATCCTCATCGAGTTGTATCTTTTGGACGGTAGTGTTGAACATGAAAACTAGGTTGTCGCCAGCTTCTGGAAGATAGTCCACGGAATATGAGCGCGTGTGATTGGATATGCGATAGGTAGCCGGTTGATACATGACGCCAAGATTCGTTCCATTCAACGATTCGAGGTTCTCTTGCACGCCAAGATTGGTCAACGTTGGGATACAAGCCTGGAGTTGGGGCGGCGGATTCTCAGTTAGGGCGACTTGGATTGGGCCTCCATATCCAACACCATCGACGCCGTACTGTGGGGAGCCATTCTGTCGTTGGAAGTTTTCTGTTTTCAGCATGCTCGGATACATGTTTTCCCAGTTCCAGCCTGAGTTCCCGAGCTCTTCCCAAGCATCGTATTCCTTGACAGTAGCACGATTCCAAACAAGCAGGTTCAGGGCTGAAGTACCACCGAGGACCTTGCCACGGTTATGGCCTATAGTCCGGTTGTTTGCTTCAGCTTGTGGCACAGTTGGAAGACTCCAATCGTACGAGGAACCAAAGGTCGAACCCCTCAGTCCAGGTACATAGATTCGTTGCTCGTCGCGTCCATCCGGACCAGCTTCGATGACTAGAATACAATGGCGAGGAAGAGCATCGCTGAGTCTTGTGGCAAGTGCAAGGCCGGCTGTTCCGCCTCCAATGATGACCTAGAGAAAAGGTCAGCTCCGTCATGTATTCAATACTGCAGCCTGGAAAATACATACGAAGTCGAAGCTGCCATCGGATACCTGACATGTCTTCGCACTCGCTGCAGGTACGACACCCAGCACGACCGCGGAGAACAGAGCTGAGATGAGCCACATCGGTGCTCAGCGTCTTGTACACAACAGAAGTCGATACGGTGGTACTCCTGCGTAGTGGACGCCTTAGACGGGAAACCTGTAAGAATAAAGAAAGCGGGAGGCCTGCTGCATAAGATTCGGAAATATCGCACGACTGTCTAGAGCAGGCCCGCATTGCCAACGGTTCAGTTAGGCCCATTATTATCCATCATTGGCCAACAAAGAAGGCTCAATATGCGCCTTCCAGCTACGGCAATTGAGCTCAGATTGATCTTTCGGAGAACCGCTGCCGTGTCACGGAGATAGTCCACACAACATGTCGAGATTGTAAGGCGTCTTATCCAGTCAGGGAAGGATTGTCTGACGAGATCTGATCGACCCTTCAATTGGTCAATTCCTCGCATGAATACAGCCGGTATGCATGCGCCTGCATATCGCTCGCATGGATACGAATCCTTTCCTGCGCCAAGGCGGGAAAACCGTTTGGTTCGATCCCCGGTAACGCTCTCCACGCCAGATACCTTGCATGCCCAAATCAGCAGCGTTACCGGGATCGCCTCGTGAGCGCGATTGCTACACTCCCCGTGTTTGTAGCCATGTCTTCCCATTGGCTTCGCCACCTGCTGATTGACCTCAACACACCATAACACCGCCATTGTCATGTGTCGGTATGGTCATGCAATAGTACATCGAGTTCCGTGAGCTCTCAAGCACAGGTAAACCGCCGGCGTCGCGGCTATGAACGGTACGAAGCGAGCCAACAAGAACGATTTTTCCCAGTCGACTCCTGCAGCTGAACGATTCTTCGGCCGCGCGGTGCGCTCCCAGCGTGGACCTAATCCTTTGAAAGCGAAGCTATTCGCCATACGAGGTTTCGCAATAGATCGGGGCGTAACTTTGGTGCAAAGTCTAAGCTCGTGCTTTATTAGTAGTTTTTGCAGAAAGCACTGTAAATCATGCGTCTAAAGTTGCTATCCAGAAGGATTCTATGCTAGTCTAGTTGTGCCACAGATAGGTTACAAGTATCCCCATCACAGTAACTATCTTAGATCCATTTCGTTACTTGAGCCTCAAAGGCGATTTTCGATAATCGCAGACAGAGGCCCGGCGTTAATCACTGTCTCGGTGCTATTTACAACAATCGCCTTCTTCACCACCGTTCTACGGCTCTGGGTTCGTAGAAAACGCCGAGCCCTGGGCTGGGATGACCACACCATCGCAGTCGCGATGATACCCACGGTTATTGAGGCCGCAATTACCATCAAGGCAGTGACGAGAGGCAAGGGAAGACCCAGTGCGTCACTTTCCAAGGGCGACAAGGAATTCATCGACATGTACAGCTGGTACGCCCAGCTTGTTCTCTTTGCTGCTATGGCTTCGGTCAAGATCTCCGTCTGCCTGCTCATGACTCGAATCAAACACTCCAGCCAGATGAAATGGCTTGCTGGCTGCATCATCTCTGTTCTAGTTATTGCTGCCCTTGAGGTCATCATCGTTCTGTTGGCCCAATGTCAGCCTATTAGCCTTTACTGGCGTTCGGGACCAGGCACGTGCTGGACTACGGAAGTACGAATCTACTCGATTTATGCACAAGCTGGTAAGGCATACGAACGCCATTTCCTGATCTGAAAGCTTACTTGACACCTAGGCATATCGATCATCACCGATCTCATATGCTCCTTGCTTCCTATCATTATTACGCGGGATATCCAATTGCCCACAAGAAGGAAGGTATCGATTTGGGTGCTGATGGCTCTCGGACTGATCTGCACGGCATGTTCTGCTGTCAGGGCGAAAACACTTAATTCGAAAGCAAGGGATATTGCCTGTACGTGAAGATTCTTGCGCTGCAATAAAGCCGTACTAACTCAGTTTGACTAGATGAGTACTCTGCCGTAGCCATTTGGGCCATGACTGAGTTATGCCTTGGTATCATAGCCACTAATCTCGCGCTTTCTCGATCTGTTTATCATCATTATGTTGGAAACAACCCTCTTTCCCCGATCAACAGCGGACCCAGCCATGTATACTGGCGGCCTGCGGAAGGAGAAAGCAGGAGCTCAAGCATGACCAACAACGGGGTGAGTGACATACCACTCAAACCAGCCGCTAATGTCGAAGAAACATATGAGGTCGAGATGCATGCGTCTTGAACATATACATAATACGATTTGTTCAGATTTGGCTCACTCTCGCAACCCACACGAGATACACGATGACTGAATCTGCCCATTGAATAATGGAAGGGATGAGAAGGAAGTCGGATTTAGTTCGTTGTGGTTTCTAGTTCGCAAGCGAATCCGACTCAGATGCCCAAGCCTCAACATCTCACGTACTACCACCAGCAGCCTGAGCAATAACCCTAGCCTCTTCCTTCGACAACCCAACAGTCTCCCCAGTTGGCCTCCTCAACCAAAGGCTCACCCTCTCATCCGTCTCACGCTGTAAATCCTCCTCTGTCCATTCCCTCAAGCGCTCAGCATATTCACCGGCCTCCTCACCATCTCGTGGTACAGGACGTGCGCCGTGCGGATCACTCCCAGCACCATCTTTCCGCTGTCGTTTCCGGTATGCGTCGATTAGTTCAGCCGTGATCTCGCGCTTTGATCGTCTCTTACTAGCTGCGAGTCCGTTCTTGATATACGTTTGTATCATGTCGTTGCGAATGCCCTCGTCAAAGTATGCCATGACTGTGCCTCCTATGTGCTTTGCATATGTGCCTTCTTTGAGCTCCATTAGCTCGACTGTTAGATCCGCGTCTTCGCAGACTAGGCCGATTATGAAAAGGAAGAGGAGGATGAAGAGGACGAGGAAACCGGTGTCGGTCCAACGCCATGCGTTTCCGTGTGCGAAGGTGTGCTTTTCGGTGAGCCAGAGGTCGACGAGGGTTGGTGGAGCGGGTTCTGACGATGCTGATGGTGGTATGTATGGCATGGCTGCTTTAAGCTGAGAACGGGATGTTTATGTTTGCTGATGTGACTGTGATGTTTGTAAGTGTTCTTCGAAGGTCTGACACCATAGCACATACGGAGTAGGCGTCTTATGTGAACGTGGGCAGACAAAGGTAAGATGAATGCGCGAACATTCTTTGATGATCGGGATAAATGGACAAAGGTCTACTGAGAAAAGCGTTGTACACACTGATCATCCCTTCCAACACTAGTGCAAAACATGCTTCAAATGCGTGATAGTACATGAGAACGGTAACGTCAGAACGAGAAGGCGGTTGACTATCGCATATAACCCAGATCACTAGCCTAATAAACATACCAACGCAGAACAAGTCGACCTTTTGCACTTCATACATACAACGCGATCCTCTAACTCCTACCCACACCCATAGAGAACCTTACATCTCCACCCTCGCCCGATCCTCCACTAATAGGTTGCCGACAAATCCCTCCCCGCCGATGTGACCATGCTGTTGCCGGACCCAACTTCCCCTGTCTCATCCTCGTTATGGGTATCGTCTACCCCTAAGCCTGTCGGTGAGAGGGAACCCAGAACAGCCTCACCAAGTCTAGCATCTTTTCGAATTGCACTCGTGCTTATGGACGACAAATTCATCTTGCGACGGCCTTGGGAATACCCTGCCGTAGGTGATGGCAGTCCGCGCTCTCCCTCAGATGAAGGCGATCCGCCACTTCCGATGAGCGATGGTGGGGCTCCGCCGCTTTCGTAGCCTGTAGTGTCGAGTGCGTTGCGTAGGTCATGAGAGGGTTCGAGTGAAGAGACACTTCTGGAATGGGTTGACGCGACGGATGGTGGAAGCTTGGATGGTTTGCTGTGTTGGCGACCTCGATCACTAGCTCTGCTATGCTCGGTACGATCCGTACGCTTCTTGGTGGGCTTGTGGCCGCGGAGGACATAGTACCACTCATCGGCGTTGAATGTATTTCGAATCCCTTGCTTATCATCCTTTAGACTAAGCCTTTCCTCAGCAGCTGCCATTTCCTTCTCATTCAGGGAAACACCTGCGTGTTCACTCAATCGACGGTGGCTAAGCTGTCTGTCGGAAGACCCTTCTGTACTACACTGTTGCTCTGCCAGATAGACCAAGTGTTCTTGATGTGGCCTCCAACGCGGTCCCTTGAGTGCCTGTTTTCGGACAACCTCGGTAGGACTGGGGCTTGCTTCTTGATCGCCGACGGTTTTGTGCGCTCCTCCGTTTAGAATCCATTCGTTGTAACGTTGTGTTACGCTCTGAAGTAAGAAGTCGACATCCTCCCTCTCAGTCTTCAGTAGACCTCTTTGCTGACGTGGCAGACCCTTGAAATAGACGTCTGACAAATCCATGTTCACGGCAGACGTGAAGTGGCTCACAGCAGCATCCCATTCGCGCAAACCACCGCAGCCACGGCCACACCAATATTGGGAGCGGGCGAGTAGGCTGCGGCTAGATCTAGCTTCGGCAAGTTGGTATGCTTCGACAGCAAACCTATGAATTCTCTTGTAGTAGGACCGTACGATTGCCTCGGCCTCAGCCTCGGACTGTTGTACCCGGGGTGTGCGCTCCATGGAGTTGATGATTGACTGCAAGACTACGCAACGATTGAGGTACGTTTGGCATTGGATCAGACCCATGGCTACCCTAAATTCGTTGCTGGATTTTTCTTCAATGGGGACGCCATTCGCGATAGATTCAGGCGTGATATTTGAAGGGGTTTCGTTGCTGATGTGTTGATCTCTTTCTCGAAAGGGTTGACTCAATGGCGATGCGCAGTGGGAAGATTTGTCGTGTTTGGGGGGAGTTGGGAGACTGTTGATGTATGCAGATACATCGTTAGTACGATTCGCGACGCCGTTGAGGGACTCATGGCCGAGGGCAGCGACTTCTAGGGGCTGCTGAACGTTTGCGAACATCGCGATGAAATAGTCAGAAGAGCAAAGCTCCTAGTAAGCTCAGGCAAATGTGTCTTGCGATGGCATAGAACTATCAACTTTCCGACTAAAGATGTTTGTGCTTTGGGGATGTCTCAAGCCGCGCCGCTTTTGACGTAACGCTCTTCACGAATACTCTTTGTTGGTTTTCTGCAGCCTTGCGCTAAAGCGGAAAACGTCAACAAAGGATAGCACGGCTCCTCAACTAGTGGCTGAACCGCCATGTCTGTGCGAACAAAGAAGCGTGGTACCAAAAGTTCATCCCCTGAACGGCGGAGTACAGCCATGACTTCTCATGATGACAGCCCAGTTTGAAATGGTAATATCACTCTCGGTGATGTTCGTCGCTCTTTGATTTGACCCAGCGGTAGGGCAACGACATTCGTCTCGCTTTCGCGGCGGCGCGCTGCCTAAGTTGCGCACTGGTTCGACGGCGCTTGTTCTAGGAAAGGTCAGTATGCTGTTGAGTGTTGGGCTCGACGCTGAATTACCTCTGTGCCCTTATCCTCCAGTTGGGCGAGCAAGCCTTCCATAGTGCGATTCTCATCAAAGCCCGACCGACGCTTGGTACAGCGCAGCAGATCCAGCTCGTCATCGTAAGACTTGCGAAACTCCCTGGCTTTAGCGGAGAGGTCGTCGTCGCAAACGGTGCCGAAGGCTTCTCGGGCTTGGTGGAGTTGACGCAGCTCATAGTACAACAGACTACGCTGGTATTGTATGCGCGGCAAGAAGTTCTGGAGCTCGGAGAGACGGTCGCAGAGCTCTACGGCTTCGCTGCACGTAGCTAGCGCGTCAAGGAGCTCATCGGGGCCAGAGGCTCTTAGGATATTGCTCTTCAAGAGTAAGCCTTCGGCGCGAGCCTTGTAGCTGAGCGGGCCTTTCAGGAGTCGCTCAACCTCGACCAGGGCAGTGCCGTAGTTACGCTGAGCGGTACACTCTTGTGCGCGCTTGAACAAGGGGTGGGTGCAATCTTCGGAGGGCCGTCGCAAGTGAGTTGGCTCGATCTCTTTCGGTAAGCATACAGTAGCGGTACCAAAACTGTAATTGACGTGAAGGTCCTCAGTACCGTCGAAGGTAGCAGGACGGTGGTTCTCGCGCTCGCCAGAAATTGTCTGGACACGTTGTTGTTGAGCTCGCTCGTTTTCCAACTCGGCTTGCGTAGCAAAGCACACGTTTTGCAGCTCGTGTAGGCGGTATGTCTGAGCTTCGAAGGCCGCTTTGTATTGGAGCGCCACAACCTGCCAGGTATCTCGGTCAACCTTGAGGTCATGGACGATGCGTTCGATTTCGGAGATTTGTTCCATGCTGATCGGCGGCATCGTAGTAATGCACGAATCAATGTGTTTGTGGTGGTGTCCAAAATGACGGGGTGGATGTGACTGTTGGCTCGGCTAGAGACGAGTTGGTGCCTGGGTGGTGTTTAGAGCAAGCGCAACCTACGAAGAGCAGGCGCTGTGGATGGGTCCTGGTCACACTTTCTGTCCACGCATTCCAAGCCGCATCAGGCTTCGTCAGATGTTAAAGCCGCCATGCCTCGATTCTTCGACGAACCTCCACAGGCCAGCTTCTTGGGCTGCTTTTTTGACTGATGTGACTTCATCCAGGTCTACAGCGCGATTAATCTCACTATATCGCACGTCTTTCTTAGTCGAGGGTGAGGCTTCAACACCGCGTGGCTCAACAACGCCCTGGCTTGCACGGCCGCGCCGCTCCTTGCCCACATGAGCTCTTGGAAAATACTGCTCCATAATGTGCACCATGATATCTTTGCTCACGTTCTCGGCAAGCCACTTCACGATCTCTCGTCCTTCGTCCTCCATGCCGGGCATCACCAGGTGTCGCACCAGCACTCCCTTCTTTGCGATGCCATCAGGAGTGAAGCAGAGGTCGCCCACTTGCTCGTGCATGGCCTTGATGCTCTCCATAGCCACCTTTGTGTATCCGTCTGCCTTCAGTAACCGACGGCTCGTCGCGTCACGCCACACCTTGAAGTCGGGGAGGTAAATGTCCACCAGTCCATCCATCAAGTGTATGCTCTCGAGCGAATCGAACGACGACGTGTTGTAGATGATGGGTATGTGGAGACCGAGATCGCGCGCATGCAGAATCGATAGGCAGACCTGGGGTACGACATGTTCGGGTGTGACGAGGTTGATGTTGTGGACGCGGCCCACGTCCTGCAGCTTCATGAACCACTCGGCGAGTTGCTCTGGTGTCAGGTCGAAGCCGTTGCGCTGGTGGGCTATATCATGGTTCTGGACACGGCGTTAGTGCGTATGTTGTGACGAACAACGAAGCAGCATACCTGGCAGAACACGCATCTCAGGTTGCACCCAGAGAAGAAGACGGACCCGCTGCCATTGTGTCCCTGGAAACAGGGCTCCTCTGGCCGGTGTCAGCACGAGTACGCCTGGGGTTTGTCGAGTTTAACTCACCACCAAAGTGAGGAGCGATAGTGTTGACTTTGACAGTCTCGGCTCCTATCAGACACGTGCCTGTCGTCTCGTAACGGTTGACACCGCACAGTCGGGGGCAGAGATTGCATTCGCGCAGGTGGGCATACGCCAGTGATCGCTTCTTGGCGGCTTCCACTGAGGAGAGCAGCTGATAGCGCGGTATATAGTCGTCGAGCAGGTATGGCGGCGCGAGGTAGAGGTTTCGTCGGAAGGGTATACCTCGGGCGCGAAACGAGGGGCATCCAGCAGCCCCAAGCCTCAAGGCGGGTCGCGTTCGCCAGCTGAAAGCCATCCTAGCAGGCCCGAAGAGGACATCGAGTTGGCAAGACCACGACGCGTAGGGTACACGTGTGATGCGATGCTGCGGTTGAGGTGCTGCAGCCATAGCGATGACGAAAGCCCCACTTGCCGAGGCTCTAAAGCCGCGCTATTCCCAGATTGTCACATCCTCAATTACTGTGAAGAGCATCAGGAGGCTTTCCGGGCGCAACTACCTGCCTCCGTGTACTGTCGCCTTCATCCCCGCCTTCGTCCCACGTTACCGTACTACGACATCTCACGCGTTCAGAGTACTTCATCTTTGCAATAGCTCCGCGCCGAAAGCTTAGTCTGCGAATGGCTGTTGGCTGCTACACCACCAATGTTAGGCCGGTGGTTTGCTTTGGCAATATATCCAGGAACGATCGAATGGGTTTCGTGATACCTTCCCCGCCCGGAGCCTGGGAACACCGGCAATAATTGACCACACGAATGCAATACTCTGGTATGATCTATACAAACCACAAGCCAATACACTTCAAGCAACATCGTGCACCGTGACAGAGCGGTGTGAAGACACTAAAGAGTTGCATTACCATCACTCACGCCCACGTCACGCCCTTCTGCGTCATCTTTATTCTCTATTACTACTAGAATGCGGATTCAGGTAGGACAGCTTAATATGATAGTTCAGAGAAGTTAAGTTGCGAGGATACAGATCTGCATAGTTACCCCAACATTGCTGACAGACCTCAAGTGCTAATGGACGTCTTCACCATAAGCAGAAACAAGCTTACGCATCTGGATAAGCAGAGAAATCCGCCCAAGACAGTATCTTTAGCAAACCACCAAATGCGATCGATCAATTGCTGTAGCTACCCGTCTGGTGCCCCGACAATACCCACATCTCGGTCGCCAATACCAGCGTACCTTGCCGACACGCGAATGACAGCTTCGTCGTACTTTGTACTGTATTCAAAAGTGGACTCATCGCTGCCTTGTTGAGCAAAATAACCACGTAATCGTGCTACTTGGTCTTGGAGTCGCTCTTGCCTTCTTGGGTGGATCTTGTTTTGGTACTGCTCGGTGTTGCAAACCGCGACTTCCCCAGACACAGCCAATGCGACTTCCTAGCTGCTGGTAGGCAGTCACTTGCCTCGCACAAGAAAATCTGCAGGGACGGCACAGCCGTCATGTTAGCTTGTTGTCCACCCAAGCGTCCCAGCTCACTACCACTGCACTTCTTACTCACGTATAAGAGCATCACTGAAGCATCACTACTTCAGCATCGACAGCTTCAGCTTCCACACAACAGCATCTTCCACCCAATCATCAACCCCTCAAACATCAAAATGCGCATCTTCGCTCTCCTTCCCGTCATCTTTGGCCTTCCCGCCTTTGCTGACCTGGTCGAAACCAAGTTCCCGACATTGCTTCTGCCCATGAAAAGCTCTCAGCCGGACACCGCTTTCTATACCCAGGATGACGCGACCGTCAGCCGCAATGTAAGTATCTACAAGACCCACATCATGAGCTTGCCAGCTACTAACCCGTCGGCCAGAACAAGACAGACACCGAACAATGGACAGCAATCAACTTCGACGTCCCCCAGATTGACAACGTCAAGATCTGCCGCCTGCGATTCCTCATCAATGTCGACCCCTTCAAAAACGCCCCACTTACCCTCAAGGGCGAAGCTCCCATGGCTATCAGCATCTCTCGCATCGAAGCCAAGCTCGTCAACGGCCGCAGTACCTGGAACAATAAGCCCGCCATCACCGAACACTACGATGCCTACACCCTGACGGCGAACGGCGCATCCGAGGTAGTCAGCAAATGGTTTGAGTGTCCAATGAAGAAGGCCGCGCAATTCGTCATTCATCCGGCTAGCAAGAGAGACTTGGAGCTCTACTGGTTTGAGCTCAACTACGGTGCCAACGATGGAGGCCCACACGGAGTTGTGCTGGAGATGCACGATTAGGTGCGCAGGCTTCGGATCACATCAGGGTGAGTGAACACAGACGGTGCGCAGGAGAATGAGTGGACGAGTTATCAATGGTGGAATTGTCTCTAGAGACCCTACTATTATCCTAAAAGCAGCACAATAAACGCGTTTCCGATACCATGCTTCACATATCCTCCACGTGATCCCTCATCAATGCATCGGCTACCCTCTCCCAGGCCCTCTCCATCAACCCCGCTCTTTTTGTGCTTTGCACGACACCAGTTTGATCGACCACTACAGTTATTGTAGATTTCAGATCGGTGAACGGTGTAATCTGATGCGTCAGATTCGTCAGCTCGACTACTTCGTTGCCTTGTTCGTCGAGTCTTTTGATGACCACGATGCCGGGTGGGTAGCGACTCGAATGCGTGGGCATGAAGGTGTGTAGTTCGATGACGCTGTCGGCTCGTTTGCACGACTTCAACGAATTCACTCGGCCGTATGGCGCAGTCGAGTCTGACTTTTGGGTTTTGTAATGCGTGCCGTGTTCGACATGGGTGGTGTTTAAGGAGGTTGCGACAGTGGATGGCGATGTTGAGTAAGTTGACGGAGTGAATGCCGAACAGATATGTGGCGTCTTCGAATAAGAATGAGGTGTTGGAGTCGCTTGATCAGCGTAAAAGTGTTCTCGCGTCGCTCTTCTTCTTTGTTGTGATGACTCGTGTGCGTCGCAAAAGTGGCTAGGCACTTCCTTGCGAGCAGAGATTTCGTTGCCGTCCGACAAGACAACAGCACAGTCGCCACCAGAATCTTCTTCTTCACCGAAACCATGGTAAATACATCCATGACTGCCGTGAGAGTGCTGATACGGCAAGCCCATACCCAAGCAATCGGCCTCCTGAACGAGAAAACAGCAACACGCGAAAATTGAGCGCGAATCCAAAATGCAAACAGGAACTAGAGGGGCTCTCCAGTTCATGACGAATATATGCCTCAAAGACGGCGTCCACCAATTCCTTTCCAGTTGCGTTGTGGTGGTAGAGAAATACCGCACGCTAAGCCCGAATGGTTGTACCTCGAGGAACAAATAAGGCGTGGTAGTGTGTGGCGCTCGGTAACGAACGACACTCCAAGCGTAGAATATGATCGGGGTTAGAGTCTAACAGAAGATGTATGGTATGGAGTATTCGCCGTATGCCGGAGCATTCTGCTTTGGCTTCTTTGCTGGTTTCGCGCTGGTTGCCTCCTTTTGGAGACAGTGCGATGTCTTCTTTGCTACCTTCTTGAGGCGTTTCCAGATTGCTTGATCAAGACAGTCGCGCTTGAGGCTTATTTCGCCAGCCTCTCTGGCAGTATTCTCTTCGATGCGCTTGATGTATGTGTCGTCGCTTTCCTTGGTGGGTGTTTGGCGAGAGGAGCGGTTAGAAGTGCCCGCAGGCCCTTGAAGACCAGTTGAGATGTTGTTATGGGCTTTAGTTGGAAGAGTGTGGGCGTGGGTTTTGGTGGGAAGATGTTCTGTGAAGTACTTCATGATGGTTGGTATGGCGGTGGTGGTTTCTGTGGCTGAATATCTTTGGTATGGTTATCTGAGTTGGGAAGTATAAAAGATCTCTACAAAAAAACAGAGAGACCGGTTTATATAGTTGGGCTTGATAAAGTGCTGCTCACGCAGACGAAGTTCATGTTGCGGAAGCGAGGTGTGTACCATGGTTGCTGAACGTACCCAACAACGCCGCGTACCAAATGAACTGGAACTATGGATCAGTAAAAGTAATGTCACAGATTTCCATCCACCAGAACTTCGGATTACAGCATCACTTGTTCGTGTTGTGATTCGTCTCTTCCTCCTTTGTCGTGATTGGTGCGATCTCGCCGAAGAATGGGAACTAACCCCAATTTGGAAATATTTGCTAGCGTCTGTAGATGCGACTAGCATTTGTAATACTCAAGATGCGCGGGGGAACTTCGAGAGAGTATAAGTAGGGGTAGGGACTGCAGGATTGCATTGAGCAGAGCAGTCGTTTCTACCTTTCAAATTTGTTGACAATCTTCTACGTTCAGTTAAAAGCCAAGTCTGATCATCAGCTCACCATGTCTACCCACTCCGCCGTTGCAACAGTGGCCAAGAAGGCGCCTCTTGAGATCATCCAAGTTCCCACTACAACCCCGGAAGCGCAGCAGGTTCGCCTTCGTGTTGAGTGGACTGCCTCCACGCCCCTCGATCTACATCAAAACGACGGAGCCTTACTCGTAAAGCACCCTCAGGTCCTTGGTGACAGTGTCGCTGGTACCGTGGTCGAAGTAGGATTGGAAACCAAGCGACTGAGGGTTGGAGACAAAGTGTTTGGCTTTACCTGGAAGACCCAAGCCCAAAAGGCCTATCAGGAGTTCTGTACTACAGACGAATGGCTTCTAGCCAAGGTAAGCTACTCCACATGTTGCTCATTTATCAGGCGAATGCTGAAGTGCTGTAGTTACCAGAAGGCTTCACCCCGATGGAGGCTGTAACGCTTCCGAATAACTTTGTAACCGTATTCCACTCTCTTACGACAGATCTGGGCCTCGAAACACCCTGGCCGAAACCTGAGAGTTATGCGCCTGACGATGCCGACTCTGCGATATTGGTCTGGGGTGGCTCCTCGTCCGTGGGTCAATTCGCGATCCAGATTCTGCGCTACTACGGTTACAAGAACATTCTGGCGACAGCGTCTCAGAAACACCACGAGAAGCTACGCATCCTTGGCGCGCACGAAGTGTTCGACTACAACAATCTAGATGTCGTTGATTCTATCCTGAAGTCTGGTGGTGACCGCGGAGTTCCACTGGTCTATGACTGCATCGGCGGCCTGAAGGGGAGCATCGCACCGATCGCCAGACTTGCGAAGAAGGGTTCCAAGGTCGCTATACTACTGCCCGTGGTTGTTCGCGACTCGACCGACACCGAGGATCCAAAATATGAGATGGACGAAGGCAAAGTGGCCAAGTGGAATGACGGGGTCGATGTGAGAGGCGTGCGAACACATTTCTACCAAGACGTGAGTCTTACCGTGTTCTGGTCATAGAGGCGCAGCTAACACTCCACAGAATGAGTTCTTTAAACATCATCTTCAGCCCGACATCATGCCGACTTTGTTGAAGGATGGTGTCGTGACGCCGCAAAAGCAAAGGATCGTTGAGGGCGCGACGCTGCTGGAGAGGGCGCAGAAGGCGATGGACATGCTGAGACGCAAAGAAGCGAGTATGGAGCGTCTTGTCTGGCGGGTCAGCGACGCATAGTTAGCGATCATAAACCGTTGGTATATCTCTTGTGAACCTGCAAGTTCAGTGGAGAGGGTCAAGAGCCAGATGGATGGTTGGCCCGTGGCTGAATGGATGGCTGCCCACCTGCCCAGGTGGGCATGACGCGCTTACCGGAACCAGCCGGTAGCGCGCCTTGAACATCCAACTGCGCACGTGCGGGCATCTCTGATTTGAACACCACCTGGTCAGTCACAGGAACATGAACGAGTAAACAATCCCAATCAATGCGCAATGCAACCAGCTACCCTGGGTGGTCTCTTTCATGCTGTTCATCCTTCACTCCAACGTTGATCGTATGCCTCGGCATCGCCATGATCATTAGTCGATGTCCAGGTCTGTGGTAGATGCGGAAACTAATCGAACCCGCATGTTGATCGCTACCGTACTTACATTTCGATGGAAGGCGAGGGTATATTCGAGGGACCAAGGCTATAACGAGATGGCTAAGCTTTCTCGGCAGCGGTGTCCCCCATGTCTTTCAGGAGTCTACAAGCAGACAAGCTATTCGAAGTTCGCAGAGCTTGTGTGGCCTTCATGAAGAGGGACATGTTGTGGCCGACCACGTGCGAGACCTTCGCATTAGGAGCCACTCTGTATCAAACACTAGATCCAGCGACCTTCTTTATGGCATCCGGTCCACCCGTAGCAGTATTCCTACACAGCCATACTGTCCGATAACGCCGTTTCCAAAGTAATGCGGCGCCTTTAATCACCGCAGAGTAATTCGGTCTCCGGCGCCGCAAAGGTGCAAGAACGATGCATGGGAAAGACTCAGGGCCGCTGTGCAAGACATGCGAGCACTTCGCATCGACCGGACACACTCAGCACTGACACCTGGACCGGACACCGATCTCCACTCACTGAGCTTTTCATAACCTCGGAGATAAACTCGTGGTGTTGAAGAAGGATCGAGGCGACTCAGCATCGTCGCACGCGAGATTGAGCGGCTCCACCAATTTCCGAGGGCTAGCGCGCACCGAAGCCGCCTTCCGATCAAGCCACTGCCACCGGTTCAGTCTGATTTCATCCAACGCAGGACAACAACTCTTCGAACTCTTCATATGGCGTTCAATGCATCGCTGAAAAGGTAGCGCGCGGTATCGATACACATGACGCAGTTGAAGATCCTGCAATATGGCCGACCAGGTCGGTGGGGAGCGCCACAATCGCATGCATTAAGCCTCGGAGCACCTGAAACCCACCGTACGCTCGCGACCGTTTCAACCCAGGATCATGGGCGCTTCTACCAGGTAGGACGGTTCGTCTATACTGCCATCTAGGGTTAGCCACTTACGAGAACCGGTTGGTTTCCTGTCAACAGGCATGGTGGCCGCTGTCGCGGGAACATGTTTGCTTGGCCTGCAGTATCGAACGGCACCCTGCGATCTTAGTCACGACATGGCTTCCTGTGACTGGTGGATGAACCGGTTCAAGCATGACAAGAGGACCCACGCCACGTCTGACATCTCAGGAACAGGCAGGGCGTGGGAGTCGTTTGAATCGGGGGCACAGTAAGCGCTGTTCGAGGCTGTAATCCATCGGTCACTTGTTTCGCATGTTTAATGACACGGCCCACAGATTGAGTGGTGAACAGGAATAGTGCCATGCCGCCGTATCGTATATAGGTATCTTGGTACTCTTGGGTTTCCTCCATCAAACAACAGTTTCTTCACTTCCAACAACAGCTTCTTTGTGCATCTTAGGTCCGAGACCTCACGTTCTTTTCAACACCACATTCATTCATCACACTCGTTCACGAAGCTAGTCTTCAGTCGATCAATACAGCAACTCTCGCTCTTCTCAAACAACCCAACAACAATCACAATGAAGTCCTACACTGTCGCCACCGCCATTGCTGGCTTTGCTTCCTCCGTCGCCGCCCACGGCTTTATCAGCGAGCCCGCTCCTCGTATGCCCGGTGATGGCCTCAAGGCTGCCTGTGGTGACCAGTTCTACAACACCCAGTCTTCCGACCACTACGGAAACGTCCAGGGTGCTCTCCAGAACCTCGGACAGGGTGACCACCCCGACTGCCGCCCGTGGCAGTGCAAGGGTGTGCCATTCACCGATGCTGGCGAGATCTTCGAGTACACCGCCGGACAGGTCATCCCCATGAAGGTCGAGATCCGTGCTCCTCACGACGGTGTCGCCAACGTTTCCATCGTCAACATCGCTACCGACAAGGTCATCGGCGAGCCTCTCATCAGCTGGGACGAGTACGCCCTCACCTCCTCTCCCATGTCTGCTCACCCTGACTGGACCTCGTTCGACATCACCATGCCCGATGTCAGCAAGGAGTGTGCCAACAAGGGTGACTGTGTCATTCAGTGGTTCTGGGACGCCCCCAAGATCGACCAGACCTACGAGTCCTGCATTGACTTCACCATGGGTGGTGGCTCCGGCTCCGGCAACGGCTCTGCCCCCGCGCCCTCAGCTTCTCCCAAGCCCAGCGCTCCTGCCGCTTCCGCCCCGGCTGCCAGCTCTGCTGCTCCCTCCAGCACCGTCCCTGAGGCCACTGCCACCCCCACTCCTACCGCCGCTGAGGAGGCCGCTACCCCTGTCGCCACCGGTGGCTCCGACTCTGGCTCCGACTCCAGCCTCCCCGAGTCCTTCACCATGGACACCTTCATCACCTGGCTCCGCGCCAACGCTGGCACCGGTGTCGCTGACAAGGTCCGCCGCATGGTAGCTGCCCAGCGCGCTCACCCCCGTGCTTTCCGCGTCTAAATCGCTTAGACGAACGCTTTGTACGATCGGTACGGCATATAAAACTTATTGTGTGGGGAGGAGGAGATGGCTAGAGTTACTGTTCGATTCTGTTGTAAATATACAATTCAATGATGCACATATTTGCTCGCCTTGCGCGGCGCTATAAACCTTGTCGAAACGTGTTGCTTGTGATATATGTGCTCTTTACTTCATCTCTTAATGAACATTTGAGATTTGTTAGTGTCGGTGACGAGTTGGAACTTTGTAGCTTCGCGAGTGGTGATCAGATTTGGCTGCTTTGTCCTCAGGAAAGACGGGGAGGCAAGGCAAGAGAGTTATCGGCTTCGCGATTCCGTCAATGACGTCACCATCACCGAAAACACGCGACGCGTCTCAGGCGTGTCGGCCACCTAGGTACTTGTCAAATCCATCACCCTTCTCGCCTGCGCATCCACTATCCAAATGTACAATTGTATGGCTGCGGAACGAATGGTATAGTATTTACGATTCATTAAACTACGGGCTAACAATAGATTACAACATAAGAATAGAGCTTCCACAGCTCCGCGAATGACGTCTCCAAGACCGAAGTCCACACTCTAATCACAACGCCGCCAAAGCTCTCCATCTTCATTACTGAACGACTCTGGACAACAAAAGATAATGTACAAGACAACAATTACAAACAGTACCACAAAGTCGTACAGCGCCAACGTATACTGGGAAATAATCGTGGAAGACCAGTTGCCACACTACCCAGGTGGTCAACAAGTAGAGAAAGAAGGTCGGGAAGAACCACCGCAAGTTCAAGGTACGTCTCCTAGCGCTTGTAAATGCAAAGGTACGTCGTCCCGCCATCCGGAATAGGACATGCCCACCTTGTGAAAGAAGAAAGCTGAGCAGGTCTGCAGCCTACATTGACATGAAGCATGCAAAGTAGGTAACCTAAAGTCGATGTAGGCTCCAGATCTGTTCAGATTCTTGCTAGGTTGAAGTATAACCATGGTCCCTGGGCTGGTTCTGACGGCTGCTAGGGGTACCTGACATTCAGTGCCCGCCGTCCTGGTGCTGCCAGGGGTCGAAGACGTTCCCACCTACAACATCGTGCACGGTGAACGAGGGCAAAAGCTCCATATCGGCAAGGCAGACACCCATCTCAGGATGTTGCGCGAAGAGATTGGCATTGCTCGACGCGTCGTCTGACGGGAACGGTTCCACCCCGTGCTGCCAGTCCTCAACTCCTGGGAAATCCGAGCCGCCGGCTGGATCTAAGTGTGCGAATACGTCGGGAGAGGTTGCATCTGCCCGGATCACATGTCCCCAAGGACTGAGGAACGGGTCTGTGTTCCTGTTCGGTGGCTTAACGTCATCGGGGCTAGCTGAAGCTGAGAACCTGCTCCGTGGCATCGGCGGAGGTGGGAAGGGTGAATGCTGAGTAGGTGAGAGAGGCTGAACTTGTGGAGTCTGCGCTTGTGTAAATGATGACTGCATAGGAGGCGATGATGCGGAGATGTGACGTTGGTCGAATGAGGTATGGTACGATCGAGATGGAGGACGCATGGCCGGGGCCTGAGGTGCTAGAAACCTAGACGGAGGGCTGAAGGCCGTCATTCGCTGGGCCACTGGCGTAGTGAAGTACGGTGAGCCTGTCGGTCCCGAAGACTCCTGCGGTGTGTTCCCACGCGACAACGGCAGCTCGGAAGCTGGTGAAGAGTGACCACGCGCCTGTCCGGTTCGTGGAGCAGCGCTGGTACGAGACCTCTTCGATGCACGCGGATTGTCATCAGGTACACTGTGACCTTTCGCGTTCGGCCTCTTGCTATTACCCACCCGGTTCTGATCCTTACGCTTGGAGTACGCCTTAGGTGCGTTGACAAACATGCGGATCTGCCACGCCGAGCACATGACGTTCTCGCAAATGCACTTCTCCTGCGCGAGGGCGGTGACGATGTTATCTAGCCGACCGGCACAGTCGGTGTCTTTGTCTTCGTCCTCGCCCTTGCGCTCGTCGTTGACATAGTCGTTCTGCTGCCAACCGCGGAACCCTTTCCTAACCTGCTCGAGCAGGCAGTCAAACACCTTGTGCGCGTATGCTTCCACCAAGTCGGACTGGTAATGTGGCTCTTCGATCCACCTCTTCCGCGCAGTTGATTTGGGGTTGTCTCTGGCATGATCCCCGCTGACCATCGCGTTGTAGATGCGCTCTACGTTGCGTTCGCGATCACGTTCAACCATCTCGATAGTCGGGTCAGTGGCAGGATCCCTCCATGGCTCACGGTTGAATCGCATCTTGTTCTGTCGGTATTCCTTCGCGTGCCCGGAGTCATTGAAAAGACCCCGGAACGGTTCGTAAAGCTGATGTGCCGCCTGCGGTCCCATGCTTAAATGTTCTGTCGATGGCATAGGCGCGAGCGAAGGGCCTTCCCTGGAGATAGACCGCTGATGTATCGAGTATGCATGGGCGGGACCTTTGCTCATGAGTTCGCTGTCCCGACAGCTCGAGCTGGTCAGATCAACGTAGCTATGGACGCCACGCAGATGGTTGTTGTCGCTGTGGGGAACGAATCGCGATTTCTGCATGGCAATACGTGGATCGTGCGATACGGTAGCGGCCGCTTCGAATCCGGTATCCGACATATAAGATTGGCTGAAGTCGTTTGCATGACCGTAGCGTTGGCCGGAAGGCCCGCGGAAACCATGGGAGGTCCCCGCGCTCTGGGGACTGTGTGTGGCCTCTCTCAAGTAGCTGCGATTGCCTTCGACGTCAAGCGGGGTATAGACATGCCGTTCGGCAAAGGTATCGCCAGGTTCGTGTTCGCTTTGGCGGAGTGACTTCTCCGCCTGGCGCGGAGATTCCTTCATGTAAATGCTGATGCTTCTCGCAGGTACGGCGTGTTAAGTGTGATGTAGGGTTTGAAGAGAAGGAAATCAGAGGGGGTATTGGTGCTGATATGCAAGAATATGTGATCGGGAATAATGTGAAGAAGGACTGAGAATGTAGAGCTCCAGTATCAATGTGCCTTCATATATCGTGAAGAGCCGGGCTTTATACATTGAACGAACGCTCACCGCAACCGCTGTGTCGGTCCGTCGCTCAAAATACCCGTTGATACTCATGGCCTTTCGCGATGCCTTGTGATCAGGCAGTGCGTTGGAAGCTCGTGGGGTTGCTGAGGCTGTGGAATGCGTTCGTGACGGGGGCTTCAAACCCCCACACGTTTGTTGCATGTGCCATGTGCAGCTCAGGTACGTGTTTGAACATCAGCTCGTTCCGGTGCCGCAATGCTCACGTGTTGCGGGCCGCGCATCGGAGCTGCGATGCCATTGTCCAGACTTAGCAACGAGGCTCTTGTGATTCGCTGCGATCGTCTCCGGTCGTCTTCTCCGTCTCTTTGGCTCTTCGTCAGTTGCGTGGGGATATTCAGCTAAGATGTTCACATTTGCATAGCCTCGATGCGACATTGAACTACCTTTGGGGCCATGTCAGCGTGGAATTAGTCGTGTGTGACTACCTAAGTATGCATTCGCAGCTCATATGTCGCCATACTTGCTGCGCTGGCCATCACACACTGCCTGTATGAATCTCCACGCAGGCATGCCGCTAAAAGCCACTATTCCTCCACGGGGATGACCTGGATCTGGCGACCGTTCTAAAGCGCTTGCGTTAACAATACTTCTCTTCTCGAGAGGCCCTGATCGGGTGGGTACATATGAATCTTGGAAGTTGTGAGTCGCTCGTTGCAATGGAGCGACCGTCCGAGAGAGACATTCAGTGACTTAGGTAGTCCGCCGTGCGGTACACACTATTCATGATGTGATACACGTCATCAATCATTTTCCCTTTTGCAAAATGATACCTCTTCGTTGTAGTGCCTTAAAATCCGTAGAAATGTCTCGCTTCTTTCTTGACAAGTACCTATAGTCTAATACGAAGCAGTGCTAGTAGCGAAATATCATCCTATTTCAGGTGTTGCAAGTACACTAGAGAGTAATGCTTGCATGTCAAGATCTGACGGAGCATAACGCCATCGGATCCATAATTCAGTAAGGCATTCAAGCACCAGAGGAAGCAGATATGGCAGTTTCGGCTGCACTCCATGACATGAGAACAGTGTATATATTAATGTACATTTGTATCAGCAGAGCGACTGTGTTGAACAGTACGCTAAAACATGGAAAGAAACCCCCACTGAAGTAAAGCCCATCGAGAAGCCCGCTCAATATCAGGCTCCCCCCGCCCGTTTTGCCTCCAGCTTGCGTTGGTGAGCAAAGTAAGTGGTCATCTGGAAAGTCTCCTCGGTTTTCTCCGGAAGGGGGAACCTGTCGTTCAATTCCTTCAATTCTGGTCTCTGTAATTCCCGCTGGACTATTATGCGTAAGTGGATGTCGTATGTGATCGTAGACTACTGGCTTACCGTTGTCGCTGCGCATAAATAGAATGAGGTCTGCATCAGGGTCTTCAGGCTCTTTCCATATAAATTCCGTCCTCCCAAACCAATGCGTATTGATATAGATTGGATGCAGCAAAAAATATCCGAAAAGAGTCCAATCCTCTATGCGAAATGCACGCTTTTTCATCGTGAAGATCGCATCGGCAATTTCTCGTTCTGTGGTGACCCCTTTACCGCTTCTCTTGCGACGTGTCGACTCGTCCCAGAACTCTGTACTATACTGTCCGATCCAGAAGTGAGCCGTCTCTGGATGCTTTGTTACGTTCGCGGCCATCCCCTTTTTCAACGCAGCCTTGATATTGCGGTCGCGCTGTTCGGATTCGATTTCACCTCCTAACAAATTGTGTACTTCACCTCGGTTAGTCCAGGATATCGGGTCAACCTAGGCATGCGCCAACACGAGAGATACTCACAGTCATTAGACATCCTGTGTTCTTCCTCCCATACTCCAAGAGAGTCGTGAAATTGGGGCTCCTTGCATTTTCTCATCATCTCTTGGTAGTCGCTCTCAGAACCTTCGATTTCAGGAATTTCAGGAATTTGATACGCCTCAATATTACCGACGCGTGTAAAGTCTGAACTGCAACAACGTTCAGCCGCCCCTTGGTCGATGGTATATGCTTTGTAGGGGTAGGTGAGGGCTATGTCCGTGTCTTTATAAAAGATCAAGAAGAAGTTCGCTTCCCTGGGCATTCTCCCATCAACGGGCCTGCTATCGTAGCTGAATTCTCCTTTGAGCCAGTCTTTCTTCAATCCAAATCTGACAGAGTTCCATTCGATTGTTGGATCCATGTTGAGGTGAGTATCGTAGCTATATGAAATTGGCAATTCGTGTATTGAAGCGCTGATTGCTAGCCTTTTATACCGCTGGATGCGTTTATGACACTTACCCATCTTGCAGTCATACTCGACAGCGTTCAAGACTCAAGTCATGCCTGAGGAGTCACAGATTGGTGTTGTATATGGGGCTGAACACAAACTTGGTCGACTTGCGCGATCTGTATCACCACACAGACTGCCAAAGGCTACGTGGACATCCATCATGGGAATGCACTACAAGTGACTCTCTCATAGATGAGGTCAGGTCTTGGCCTATTCCCAAGAGTGTACGATACGTTGGGTGATTGAGTGCGGCTGCCAGAGTCATATGCGAGAGTCAAGAGTTACAACGGTGTTGGATCGTCATGTTGGTGAGTCCGTGACGCCCCTGCAACGACCATATTGAGCAATAGACGGCAACGGCATCGTCGTGCACTGACATCGAGCCGTGTGTGCCGTTAAGACGGCGCAGCTGCGGCAGTGTATGAGTCGAGTGATTCATGACAGCGGCTTGATATGAGAGAGTGGCTCGGCGATGACTATGAGGATGCCATGGGTGCGATGCGACCACGAGAGGCGGAGATGTGGGAAGTGGTACTTGGGCGAAGAGTGAGTGCAGACAGCGGTGACGTAGACCAACACGAGCGTGTCGAGTGCTCGAAAACAAGATCTCCGTTCTGAATTGCGAAAGCGACAACTTCAACCCGTCCCCGAAAATGTTGAGAGCAACAGACAATGGCGTAGTGCTCTCTGCGCGCACTAGTTCCGCACTCCCCATCGCCTAATTCCGCGGCCCCAACAGCGGACCTTCTTCCCCGCATTAGCCGGCCTCACCCACATCAAGCCCGGGGAAGCCGCCATGGTCGAGAAACGGTAGATATATAGAATGTCCGGCTCTTGCTAGCAAAAGGCCACTATCGCGTCGTGGCCCATCACCAACCTTTGACCATCTCGTTGTTTTCGGCAAGCGCTACAAAGAGCCACTAGCGAACACCATGATCTCCACTATCCTCCCGCTGTTATCATCGCAGTTTGCAGATCATCCAGTTCGCACTTTGTTCGTTTTGTTGATACTGATTCCAGTATCTTACCTGGTTGGCAACGAATATGTGCGATATTCGCGGCGGATCAAGGGCTTTACTGGGCCGACGAACTGGCCTTTGGTTGGCAATATCCCGGATATCAAGTACAACGCGGCGGAGAAGTACCGGGAATGGAGCAAGACGTTTGGAGCTGTGTACCAAATACAGCTGGGAAACGAGCCGGTTATTGTCGTGAACAGCGCCGAGGCTGCGAGGAAGATCTTTGGTGGGAACAGCCAGGCACTGAGTTCAAGACCTGTTTTCTGGACGTTCCATAAGGTGAGCGGAGAGGAACGGAAATGTTGACATATATCTGATTGATGTTAGGTACTTTCAAACACTGCTGGTACGACCATCGGAACCTCTCCCTTTAACGATTCGCTCAAGCGGAGAAGAAAGGGCGCTGCTGCCGCGCTAAACAAGCCTTCGATTGCGACATACATCGACCACCTTGATCTCGAAACGAAAGAGTTTGTAAAAGATGGATTCGAGTCAGGACAGGCCGGTACCGTTGGGGTAAACCCAATGCCCATGATCGAGCGCCTCTCTCTTTCTCTTGCACTGACTCTCAACTGGGGAACGCGGATGAGCAGTCGTCACGACCCCATGTTCCATGAGATATGCGAAGTCGAAGCTGCCATCTCGAAGTTCCGCAGTACGACTGGAAACTTGCAAGACTACATTCCACTGCTGAGACTCAACCCGTTCAGTTCTGGCACAAAGTCTGCGAAAGAGCACCGGCGCCGAAGGGATGTGTATCTGACCAAGTTGAATCGCGAATTGGACGAGCGGATGGAGAAGGGCACCCACAAGACATGTATCCAGGCGAACATCATACAGGACAAAGAAGCCGCGCTGAACAAAGAAGAGTTGACGTCCATCAGTCTGACAATGTTGTCTGGCGGTCTAGACACAATTACGACCCTTGTGCAGTGGAGTGTCGCGTTGCTGGCTCAAAGACCAGACATCCAAGAAAAGGCCATCAGGGAGATCCGAAAGTTCTACTCGGAGGACGAGCCGCTCGCGGATGCGTATGACGACCAGAAGTGCGGATATATTGTCGCATTGGTCAGAGAGTGTCTGCGCTACTATACCGTACTACGTCTGGCGCTGCCCCGTGCGACAATCAAGGATATCATGTATGAGGGCAAGCTCATCCCAGCTGGTAGTACGATATATCTGAACGCATGGGCGTGCAATATGGGTAAGCCATTCTCAATCTTCTCCATCTACAGCAAGTTCAGCGATACTGACTACAACACAGATCCCGAAGTCTGGAGCGACCCAGACGAGTTCCGCCCAGAGCGCTGGCTCGAGCAGCCGGAAGCACCTTTGCACACATACGGGCTGGGTTACAGGATGTGCGCAGGCTCATTATTGGCCAATCGCGAGCTGTATCTCGTTTTCCTGCGCATGTTGAACAGCTTCGAGCTTGTATCGGAGTCGGAGGTAGACGTGCACCCTGTCCGGGGCAGCTCAGACCCTACCAGTCTGGTGACTATGTGCCGGCCTTATCAGATTCTTTTCAAGCCGCGGAACGAACAGGTACTGCGTGCGGCTCTGAAGGCGGCAGATGAGCGATTGGCTGAGCATGAGAAGGTGTGAGTAGTAGATGGATAGATTGGTCCGGCGTGGGCGTATTGATTAATCTAAATGGCTTTTGGCGTCCTGAAAGCTCGACAGCTGTGTTGCAGATCGGCGTGATGATCGTATGCAGCACGTTAATACGGATCGTCGAAGAAGCGATGACGTGGCAGCTCACGCGTGATTTTGGGACGAGTTGCAGTTGTGAGGGAAGCAGGAGAGGGTTCGCAGTAGCGTAGACGGCACGTGGCGGCAGCTGCAAGCGAGCGGGATGATGCGTTGCAGGGATGTGCTTTCCGAGAGGACAATGAATCGAGGTTATCGCAACTCCAGATGTCCTCTTCCATTGCCCCCGACACGCCTTTGAAGGGACATTACGCCACCCGTTATGTTGTTTTCATGATTTTAGGATTCGCGCATCCGTTTCTCTCGACTTGGGACCCTCCGCATCACCCCCATAGCTGAGGTCAGCAACCCGTCGCATGCTCACACAGCTTCCGCCGCCCGCACGTTGAATCGCACGCGACATTTACTCCGATATCGCCATGGATGAATGCTAGCGGAGAGATAGGCATTGTACAACGCGTGATTACAGCGAAGCTCCGTTGGCGGCGCCATGTATCGAAAGACGACGCTCCCAGGCGATGAAGAGCTGGGCAAGAAAGACGATGACCACCGATACAAACCCGCGCGACAGTCCAGCTGGTCAATGTGGAATCACACATTCCGCTGGCGACGGAGAAGAATACTACTCGCGATAGTAGCCTTATGCCTCTTGTACTACACCTTCCACGGCAGCTCGGACGACCTCGAAGCCCCGGTCGAACAGCGATATCGCGGACGGCCCATCTCATCGACGTATCAGAAGCCGGGCGCGACCGGCAACGACGACGAACCTTCGGGACCGCCCCCGGGCGTACAAAAACCTCGACGCGGGGATCCTATCCCGCGTACATACGATGGGCAGATACGCTTCTTCCGTCTCGCTAGCTCGCTGCGCTCGTCTGCTTCGGCGACGGGTGGCTACGAAAAGAAGAACAGGAATATACTATTTGCCATGTCGAATCTGAAGAGCGTCTCGACGCTTTTGCCGATGGTGTGCGACATGTCGCAATGGAACAGGAATCACGTACACGCGGTTTTTATGGGGAGGGAGGATATACCGATAGAAGATTTGCTAGAGATAAATGGGATAGATAAGGTCAAGTGTCCTGCCGTGTGGCATGATGCGCGACCGGATTATACAGAGTATGTACACTCGCCCAAGTACCAAAGGGATGTCGTGGTGGCAAGCACATGTCTAGACCACGTATATCATTTCAAAATAGCCCGGGCTAATCAAAATCTGCGTATAGGTACAGTACCGATGTACGCGCTGAGACGGCGGTGACGGGAGCCATGTCGCACATCAACAGTTTCCTGCATCCACAAGCAGTCGTTATCGACGACTCAATGTCTGAAGACGCATTCTTCGTGCGCGGCATGCGAAGTAAAACCGGTGCACTAAAGATGCCTCTTGTCGAAGTACCAAAGGACAGATTAGAGGACTTCGCCTGGGTCTCGCGACTTGACGCCGGCTCGCTCAAACACTGGCACGATCCCACTGTAGACATTCTGATTCAAGTCCCGTCAGGCTCATCCAGTGTCCTTCGACTGCTGGAGTCGATCAAAGATGCTGATTACAGCGGTCTGACACTGCCCCGCATCACAATTGAGCTACCAGCCGAGCTCGATGTATCGGTTAAGGAGCACATTGAAAGCTTCAAATGGCCCCCGAAAAGTGACAACCCAACAGCAGGAAGCGGCCTCAGCATCAGACGCCGCATCTCAATCCATCGTCATGACCAAGAGGAATCGGCGATACGTTTCTTGGAACTGTTCTACCCTGCAAGCACAGCTAACTCGCACGTGCTGCTGCTCTCACCGCAGGCTCAGCTATCGCCACAGTACTTTCACTTCGTCAAGTATGCGTTGTTGGAATACAAGTACTCTACTTACGGTGCAGAAGATAACGAAAAGCTCATGGGCATGAGCCTAGAGTTACCACCAACGCTCTTAGATGGCAAGACCAAGTTGGAGGCTCCTTCGACCAGCGACATGCACACGGATCGGTACAAGAAGTTGTATCCGGACGCTAAGAGCGTGCCTTACATGTGGCAGGCTCCGAACAGCCATGCGGCGTTGTTGTTGGGGGACAAATGGGCAGAGTGGCATTCCTTCCTTAGCAACCGTGTTGTGAAACATCAGCAGTCGGCCAAGTCAACATCTCGGGAAAAGCTGATTTCCGAGACCCTTCCGGCATGGACAGAGTACATGCTCGAGTTTATGCGCGCGCGCGGCTACTCGCTTCTATATCCTGCAGCGATGGATAATGCACTGGTCACCATCCACAACGAGCTGTATCACATCCCCGAAGAATTCTCCGCGACGTCATCTGAGGACGGGAAAGAAAGTCCAGCCGTACCAAAAGAGACAGATGCACCGTTCCTGCGCGCCGATACACCACCGAAGCCACCTCAAAACCCCGAACCGCCAGTCATCCCAGGCTCAGTGCCCCTCCACCAAGCGCTGCCCTTCAAAGGCGACCTCCCCGAGATACCTCACTTGCCCCACCTTCTCTATGACGGGAAACATATTGGTCCCGCAAACATATCTACCGTGGCGAAAGAATATGCCGACTTGTTCCGCACAGAGGTTGGAGGCTGCAAGATACCCAAAGGCAAGCATAAGAAGGTCGTTGCAGGTGAAGCGAGCGATTTGTTCTGCTTCGGAGACGAGGATGGTAGTGACTGGGTGGATGATGAGACGAGAGAGGTGGAGATGTTCAATGCGCCCATCGATGATGAGCTGGAGAAGTTGATTGAGGATGCGCTACCTGTGGCGACGTCGACGAGGGAGAGGACGATCACGAGACCTACAGCTGAAAGTGTAGAACCATGATGGGTCGAGCTCGAAATGTATCTTGTATAATACCACTTTCATCTGGTACTGATGTGAATGATCGATGTGTTATGTAATCATCTCGTGCTAGAGGCGCAGGGCCGTGGCTAGTGGCTCGGGTGGCGAGGAAGGTGCCAAGGTGGGGCGATGCCGTTTCGGTGATGACGCGGGCATGGATCTGATGGTCGGCCAAAATTTCCATGAGAGAGAAACTTCAACTGCGAGGCAACTCGACGTCCAGTTGATACCCCCGATTCACTGCATCGTCCCTTCCACTTGTCTTCTGGCGTTGAGCAGTCTGGTCTTTCTTTCTTTCTTATCTGTTTAATACCCATAGACTTGCACGCGCCACGCTCCTTCCCACGACATGCTCTCACGAGCGTTAGGGCGGAACATCCGCAGAAATGCCTACACGACGCCCTCGACGCTGTCGCAGCAATTGACGCTGCCATGGCTCTGCCCAGCGCTCTCCCGCAAGACTTCACACACACCACACGATGCGAGCCAACGGCAACGGCAGCGGCAACGGCCGACTTCACTGTCGTCACGGCACGAGACACGCTCCCTCGCCACGTCTGCGCAGATGCAACCCCCACCGCCCTCGGCCCTCCCCTTCGACCCGTTTGCGCTGTCGCTGGGACGCCAGTTCCAATCGCCCGAGCTGTCGCGGCTCCAGCCATGGGACGCCACAAATCCTCTCGTCGTGCGTGACACGTTAGCGGCATCCCCACCGATGCGTTCTGTCTACGGCCTCGGTGCCGACCCCATCGAGCTACACCAGAATCTCTACGCCTGTCTGCGGGTTGGCCGCCTGGACCGGGCTGCCAGCATCATCGCTCGCCTCGCCTCCGTCTTCAACCCCGAAGCTGCAGAGCTCTTGGACGCCAACAATGTCTATCTGCAGACGCTGCTCGAAAGCAACCAGATGGACCCAAGTGCCGAGGGCATGCAGAAAGTCCAAGATTGGTACAAGAACAACATGGTCGCCAAGGGCATCCAGCCCAATGCGCAGACTTTTGTTACCCTAATCCGGGCGGCTATGAGCTTCTTAGAAGAGGGCGCGCAGGAAAACGCAGTACGGGAATACATTGCAACCGCACGCAGACACGGCGACCATGTTCTCGACCAGATCAACGCCTCTCCCGAATTCTCCGACGAGGAGTGGGACTTATTGATCCGACTGCAACCAGAGTCGTTCAACGAACCCCCCTCGGTCGAGGAGGTCCAGGATCTCCACGTCGCCACTCCCTCCGGTCGCAAGAACCTCATAGACCACGGTCTGGTGTCCAATCCAGCACAGCCCATCAAACCCGTGAGGCAGAAGGGCATGGGTCTCGACTCGCTGAAGCAAGCCCTCACCATGTTCGACGACGGGTCAAGCGTTCCCTACCCTCACGATATGCCTGGGACCCAAGAAGACAAGGACAGGGCCTACGCATACGCACGACAACTGAAGATAGAACAAGATGGAGTAGAAGCTGCTGTTGAGAGATGGAAACAAGAAGATGAGAAGATGCAAGAGATTGGCATATATGGCGTTATGAACTCCAAACCCATACAGGCCATCATGTACGGCTGGTACTTGGCCCTCGTACCGCTGTTCAAGCAGCGCATTGCAAACGTCAAGGACACCTTGTCCGATCCCGAAAAGGTCAAGACGCGTGATGAAGCCCTTTCCTACGGTGTTTGGTTGGAGAGATGCAGGCCTGAAAAGTTGGCCGCAATCACAGTTGCTCGCGCTACTCAGGCTGCAGTAAAGGGCAAAGACGAAGACAACTCCGCCTACAAAGTCGCCGCTCTGTCTGTTTCCATCGGTACTGACGTCCAAGACTACCTCAACGCCGAGTCACAAACAAGACGTGATGCTTTCCTCCGCAAGCAGCGCAAGCAGACCAGGATGAATTTGGTTGAGAAACTTTCCAAAGAGACTAAAGATACCGAAGGGGCTTCTTCTACACCAGCACCTCCGAAAATGAGCTATCAAATCGAAAAGGCCGACATACCACTATCCGTACGAACCCGGATTGGGGCTCTCTGTCTAGAGCTTTTGCTTCAAAGCGCAACCCTCACTGTGACCGCAA